GCTTTCTTTATGTCAGGTTCTGTCGTAGCACAAAAAATTATAAAAACAAAACAAAATTTAGTGGGAACAAATTCTGTCTGTGAATGACACAGGTTAAACAAATAATGAAAGTAATTTGCTTCAGCCATAATAGAAACATGATACTAAAGAAGCACAGATGATTGTCTGTTCGCTCTGATGAACAGACAACCTGCAGAATGGGAGATAATTTTTGCAATCTACCCTTTGACAAAGGGCTTATATCCAGAACCTACAAAAAACTTGAACAAATTTACAAGAAAAAAACCCCATGGAAAAAGTGAGCAAAGGATATGAACAGACACTTCTCAAACGAAGACATTTATTCGGCCAACAAACGCTCTTCATCACCGATCACTAGAGAAATGCAAATCAAAACCACAATGAGATACTATCTCATGCCAGTCAGAAAGGTGATCATTACAAATTTCAAGAGACAATGGATACTGGCAAAACTGGAGAAACAAATGCTTTTCCACTGTTGGTGGGAGGGTAAATTAGCCTTTGTGGAAGACAGTGTGGCGATTCCTCAAGGATCTAGAGCCAGAAATACCATTTGGTCCAGCAGTCTCATTACTGAGTATATACACAAAGGAATATAAATCATTCTGTAAAGACACATGCACACATATGTTTATTGCAACACTGTTTACAATAGCAAAGACATGGAACCAGCCCATCAATGATCGACTGGATAAAGAAAATGTGGTACATATATAACATGGAACACTATGCAGCCATAAAAAAGAATGATATCATGCCCTTTGCAGGGACACAGATAAAGCTGGGAGCCATCATCCTGAGCAAACTAACACAGGAACAGAAAACCAAACACTGCACTGTCTCATTCATAAGTGGAAGTTAAACAATGAGAGCACATGGACACAGGGAGGGGAACAACACGCATTGGAGCTAGTTGGGGGTTTGGGGGCAAGATGAAAGAGAGGATTAGTACAAATGCATGCAAGGCTTAAAACCTAGATGATGGGTTGATAGGTGCTGCAAACCACCACAACACATGTATACCTATGTAGCAAACCGTCATGTTCTGCACCTGTATCCGGAACTTACATTTACAACAAAAATGAAACAGATGAAATAACACATTTTCTTGCCCAGAGAGAGAGATTGGGAAGGCTTCATGGAGCAGATGGCTTTTTTTTTTTTTTTTTTTTTTTTTTTTTTTTTTTTTTTTTTAAGACAGAGCCTCTTTCTGTTGCCCAGGCTGGAGTACGATGGCATGATCTCGGCCCACTACAACCTCGGCCTCCCAGGTTCCAGTGATTCTACTGCCTCAGCCTCCTGAGTAGCTGAGATTATAGGTGCACACCACCACACCTAGCTAATTTTTGTATTTTATTAGAGACGGGGGTTTCACCATGTTGCCCAGGCTGCTCTCGAACTCCTGGCCTCAGGTGACTTGCCCATCTCAGCCTTCCAAAGTGCTAGGAGTACAGGCATGAACCACCACACCCAGCCAGGAGATAGATGGCTTTTAAGCTGTGCATTGGAAATTGAGAAAGCTTCAGGGACCTGAACATTCATTGTGGTTCAAAGAATACCAAGAAGGTCAGTATTATAGGATTGCAGAATTGCAAGAAGTGGCAATAGACAAAACTAGAAAGGAGGTAATGTGCCGTATACAAAGGACCTTGGATGTCTTATTGAAGAGTCAGGAGTTAATCCTGTAGAGGCAAGGGAACCTTCACTGTTTCTGAAGAGGAGAGTGACAATCAGATTCTACCTAGATTGTAAATTCCTGCATGGCAGAAATTACATTTTGTGCATCTCTTTTTCTCCCACAGGGTCTACTAACAATTCCTTGAACATAGTAAACCTTCAATAGATAAGTTGTTCACTGATTAATTTCTTCCTGAGAGTGAAGCATTTCTGGCTGGCTGGGAACCAACAACATTTTGAGTTTTCTGTGAGCCCAATTAAATGCTGACACCAAGATGGTTTATTTTTTTTTTATAAAACAGCAAATATTGTTAAGGTGATGAGAAGCGTCAGATTCATGACATTTCTCGGTGCCTGTCACCTTCATTCTATTAGCCAGAAGTGTTGTTTTCAGCTTTCAGCAAAATGTTGGCAAAGTTGCAACTACCTAAAAGAAACTGAAAGTCTGTTCTCATTTAAACCGTTTAAGGTAAGGTTGGGAAATTTTGGATATCTATAAACTGTGAGGGAGACATACTGTTACTATTATTAATTAAATCAGAGGGAAATGAGATAACTGAGAAACTCCCTGAAGCAGTTGAGAGAATAGGAGTGTTTTGTTTCCCTTGATGTGTAAAAACCCAGCCCTTGGCCTTCTGTGTTGTCAGTGGTACAAATTATCAGCTTGGACTAATTGTTAGGAGTTGCGGGGAGTGATGGAGGACTACAAGCATTGCTGATGTGAGTGTCAGTCCTCGGGTTTTGTTTGTGGCATTGACAGTTAAAAAAGAAGAGATGTTTTGAAATTTGTAATTTGAGGTAGTTTAGCTCCCACAAAAGTGTTTTGTTTCCAACCTCCACAAACCCTTGGATTGCATTTTCATTCTCAAAACTGCATAAAGCTGGGGTAATAAAGCAGTTCCACCTTTGACTTGATTTTAAGAAGAGTACCAGGGTCCTTCTTTCTTTTGACCTAAACCAGTTTTCCCTCCTGTAGTTCCTCTGCAGATAGGTTTGGTAATTAGCAAGGCTGATAATTAACAGCTTCAAAACCTTGCTTTGGAGACTGAATCGGGTTCTGATTTCTGGTGTCTAGGGCGAATTTTTCCAGGGACCACAGCCTCTAGAGCCTGTGAACGTCACCCTGCATCTTGTGGATCTCTCTTGAAGCTTCCTGTCACCCTTCTCTCATTTCCATCCTCACCCTGATGACTTGCACCACCTCTCCACACTCACTCTCCACCCAAACATCTCTGAGCTTCACACTTGCATCCCTCTGGTGTCACAAAGACTTCTGTATTGAATGTGCTTCACATTTTCTAGTCCTTTGGCTAAATAGGCCTGGATACAGTGAAACCATCTTTATAAAACCTTTCTAGATTCCCATCCCCCTACTAGGCATTTTGCATACAATTTTATCATAATACTTATTATATACAATTATCTAAAGACCCCAAAGATCAATTTAAGAGAAAAACTCATTGTTTCGTTGCAGTGGAATATCGCCATCACTTAGGCCCAGAGTTTGGCCCACAGTAATTGCAATCAGAACATAAATAACAATAGCTATGATGTCATAGCAGGTTACTCTGTGCTTGTCATAACATGAAATATGGTAGCACAAGTAGGTGCTCATTTAACCTTTGTAAATGGAAGAAAGGGTCTCATGATGGACTCTCCCTCCAACCTATTCTAGATCCAAGCAGATTCCTCTTATGCAAGGACATCACCTTTATCTTTATTGTGCCTGCCTCCCTGCCAGGCACTGCCATTCAGTAATTCTGCCAAGTGGTATCTTTCCTCCTGACAGAGTGCTAAACAGTGATTTATTGCTTGAATACACATTCCTTTCATGGAAATGATTTGTTTAAAACCACGTAAAGCACTAAATAAATTATTCATTCCATGCTAATTCTTCACTTTTATGTGCTGTAGTAAGCGTCAAAATAAGCAGCCTGTGGGGCGTTTTATTTTCGCCACATTAATCTTAGATGGTTTAAGGGGGAAAAAACTGAAGGAAATCTAAAGAAAAGGTTTCATTTTCAAGAAAATAGATTTTTTTTTTTTTCTAGAGCTGCAAGCAGCAGCAGCAGCAGGAGACAGCTCTAGCAGACATGCTGGTCTCTCCTGCCCCCAGGGCTCCGTGAGTCACCTACAAGATCCCCTTGCACTCTTTCTCCATGTTGGAAGCAATGGCTCTTTTTCTTTGCAGGGAGTGATTCACATCGGCCCCAAGCCCTGTCACAAAGCCAGGAAACAAGTGGGCTCTTTCCCCGGGGGATTTGCATTTTCTGGGGCAGACAGGGTGTTGGGTTTCTCAGTTTCACTGGTGTCTTGATTTAGGATTAAGGGATTATAAAGTGAGACGCATCCAGGACATACTTATCCATTCTTGCAACTGACTTCCCGCATGGAATACAGGTATCATTTGTTTCCACTTTCCTTAACCTTCTTTACTGAAAGTCTCCTTTCTTTGTATTGTGGACTTTGGAGTGATTTTCAGTTTAAGAAAGTCTTCCATTAGCAGAGGAGAAGACAGATGGTTTTGTTGTAAATTTTTGGGAAGTTTCACTCTTCTTTTCTGAACATGACTCCTTCATGTTTTATACCTGCTGAGGGGTGAGCAAGGGTTTGTGCTCTCTGCCTGTGGAATCCACGGAGATCTCAGTGAATGTGATACAAAGATGACCCCTCAGCTCAGATGGTAGAAGAGCTAACACAAGCCATCCTTCAAGGACTCGCTTCCAGATGAGAAGCCAAGAAGCTCCAGGATTAAATATGTACTACCCAAGCCCCAGCCAATTTTCATCTTCTGTTAGGGAGCAACAAAAACATCTCCCCAGTGCTGTAGAATGGGTTAAATGACATACCGCGTGTAAAGCACCTAGCTGGTTGTAAGAGCTTGAAATGGTCCCCACCTGCATCTAGCTAGCGATTGTTCCCTTCTCTTTATTCCCATAGTAATTCATCTCTAAAACATTCAACTCAAACCTGTCAGCTCTGTAAGTCTCTACACAGCTGTGATGGATAATGAGAGCAGGTATCTGTTTACTCTTGTCTACAGCACTGAGCTTTGGACTCAGATTATTCAGGTTCAGATCTCAGCCCTCCCACCTAGCTGATCTTGGGCAAGTCACTCTCAAACTCTATGGCCAAGAGAAAAGAAGAAAGATAAGAAATATTGCTTTGAATGATAGTTGAGAAGGTATATAGATTGTTATTCAAAAATGCTTAGGAGAATGACAAATAAAAACTCAAAGTCAGTTCATGATAATTCAGTTAGAAGGGGAATTCTTCTTCTTTTTTCTGTTTCAGAAACACACCAGGGGAAAGCATGAACACAGTCGCCCACTACCACAAATTATGCAGTTGAGTTTCCCACATTTGGGGAACTCGCAGAGGTCAGCACATCCAGAGTGCAGTAGATAAGCCTCGCCCTGGGAAAACCACCTTTGTGACCATGGTATCTCCAGAAGGGGCATTCTATTTTTTTTTTTTTCTTTGAGGTGGAGTTTCGCTCTGTCACTCAGACTGGAGTGCAATGGTGTGATCTTGGCTCACTGCAGTCTCTGCCTCCTTGGTTCAAGCGATTTTCGTGTCTTGGCTTCCCAAGTAGCTGGGATTGCAGGCACATGCCACCATGCCCAGCTAATTTTTGTATTTTTAGTAGAGATGGGGTTTCACCATATTGGTCAGGCTGGTCTCAAACTCCTGACCTCTGGTGATCCAGCCGCCTTAGCTTCCCAAAGTGCTGCGATTACAGGCATAAGCCACGGCACCCAGCCTAGGGAATTCTAATGTTATCAATCCCCTTTAATAATAAAGAGAGGTTAAATGAATTAACTAAAGTGATATAAGGTGTTAAAATTGGCTCTGTAACCAGAATCCAGCCCTTTCAACCTCTAGAATTAGCCCTTGCCCTGCCACCATACATACTATATTAAGCCTTGCTCCTATTACACAGAGGAAGAAATTGTGAGAGTCTCAGAGGAAATAGCCAAAAGATCTGGAATTCAGACTTTGATTCCAAATCTGTACTGTGTTACATTTGCACTGACCTAGGGCCGTCTTTTCCTAAGTAGAAGAAACTGACAGAATGGGAAGTGGATCTCTGCAGTGTCCTGGCCAACCTTCAAAAATCCCACAGAGCTGTGCATGAAAGCTAACACTCTTGAATGAAAGGACAAGAAAATCAATAAACCTTTGGATTAGATCATAGACATGTTTTACAACTACTCGGCCCTCACACAAGGGTTACACAGCATTGAATTATGTGTAACACTTAATCCTTTAATCAGCCTAAGCTTTCAAGAGGAAATCCAAAGTATTTCAAATGTCATTCCTAAAATTGGAATTTGATAAAACAGCAATGCCGGTAGATTGCAATTTCTCAGGGTATGGTGATGTGACTCAAGAGGCTAGTTATAATAATTGCTCACGTAACTGAAACATGTTGTTAATGCCTGAAAAAGCCCATCATCAATATAACTACAGTCATTCAGTCAGACGATCAACAAATACTGAAGTTCCTTGTGTCAGTGAGACAATATTACGTGTTAGTTCACATGGAATTGTGAGAGGATACGGGGCACTGGAATGATCTAATTTGAACATGAGCACAGGAGTCAGGCCATCCTTACTTAGAAGTCATATTTTGAAATTTAAAGTTTATTTTAAGGTCAGTGAGTGGCCATAGACACGTTTTAAGGAGTGGGGAGAGCCGTTTAGACTGCTATTTTTAAAAACACCCTGACAGCAACAATGTAAAGGGTGACCTGAGGAAAGCAAGATGAGATGCTGTGAAAAGTTGTCGGAAGCAGGCTGGGCACGTTGGCTCATACCTGTAATCCCAGCACTTCGGGAGGCCGAGGCAAGTGGATCACCTGAGGTCAGGAGTTTGAGACAAGTCTGGCCAACATGGTAAAACCCTGTCACTATTAAAAATACAAAAATATAGCCAGGCATGGTGGCGGGTGCCTGTAATCTCAGCTATTAGGGAGGCTGAGGCAGGAGATTTGCTTGAACCCAGGAGGTGGAGTTTGCAGTGAGCCGAGATCCTGCTATTGAACTCCAGCCTGAGCAAAAAGATGAAACTCGGTCTCAAAAAAAAGTTGTTAGAAGCATGGATAAGAGTTGATGCAGCCCAGATCAGGTTGAGGAGAAGTTAGATGGGAGAGGTATATAAAATTTAGAGATTGGCTGGGCGCAGTGGCTTATACCTGTAATCCCAGCACTTTGGGAGGCCGAAGTGAGTGGATCACCTGAGGGCAGGAGTTCAAGACCAGTCTGGCCAACATGGCGAAACCCCATGTCTACTAAAAATATTTTTTTAAAATAGCCAGGTGTGGTGGTGTGTGCCTGTAATCCCAGCTACTCAGGAGGCTGAGGCAGGAGAATTGCTTGAACCCAGGAGGCAGAGGTTGCAGTGAGCAGCGGTCACGCCATTGCAGACCAGCCTGAGAAATAAGAGCAGAACTCCGCCTCAAGCAACAACAACAAACTTAGAGATTGGTTACATTTGGAGGGAAGAAATGGCTAAGAGTCAAGGAAGACTCAGAATTCTTAGTTTGAACAATGGCAATAGCATTTACTAAGACTGGCAACACCACAGATACAGTAGGCCAAGGTATTCAGCATTAAATAGTATTATGATTAGAAGAGACCCTGGCAAACATGTCTTGCAGCCATGGAGGAAACTCAAACCCAAAGAGGTATATTGACTTTCTTAGTGTCACAGTGTTGGCTGTAGAGCCTGGGCTTAGGTTCATATCTCCTAATTCATAGCCTAGGACTGCTGAAATGGACAGTTTCATTGAAAAGGCTTAATGAGCATCTAATGGGGAGTCCTATCCAAAGGTGAATTTACAGTGAAGCTAATGAAGCTTAAGATTCACAGCCTTCATGGGCACCAGCTCCTATGAATATTGGGAGTTTGGGGAGTTGTCCATTGTTCCAGGTGGAGAGAGGAAGCCAGGGTAGAATCAGAAAGCATTTCTGTATACTCATTTCTGCTAAACCAACTGAAGATATCTCAGAAGAAAAGTATGTCAGTCTCTAAGTCACTATTAACTTCTTGTGATCTAATTTCTTGGGCTAGTAAATATGACATTTGAGGCCTCATTTTATTTATGACTTTGTATTATTTTTCTGAAAGAGGAGCCCAACATTGAGTAACTTTCACTCCCACAAAACCTGGGTCTGGTTCTGATATTAGATCTACTGCTCCCAATTCTTCCATCTTAGAACTGAACCAATCCAGTCCCTCATTCGGTACCTAGGCCTGCATCAGGGACCAAATCGGCAAACGGTATATTAAGATTATTTCTTTGGTCTCAGATATTCCTTATTCAAGAACTGGTTCTTCTAAAAGTGTAACCTACACTATTTGTGAAATGAGGTGGTTGGAGTTAGATGGAGTTAGATAATCTTTTCAGTCCCTTCCAATTTTAAGTTTCTTTTAAAAGAATAACAAAATGCTAAATTTTTATACCCACCCACCAGCCATGCCATTGTAAAGAATTAGAACTAGAAGCACATGGAAACATTTTGGTTCTGTGACTAAAAGACAAGGAATATATAAAAATCACTTAACCTCCCTGGGATTTTTCCCTAACAGAAAGCCTTGTTATTTATTAATAGATTTTACTTGGAATTTTAAGATGTTAATTTTAGTTTCAAGCCAAGAGTTTTTTAAGCTTTGAATTTCTTTTTAGGCAAATTGTATCTTACCACACCTTAGCACTCAGATAAAACAAACAAAAGATCTGCTAATAGAGAATTCAGTTGTTATTGTTGATTGATTACAATTTTTTTTTTTTTTTTTTTTTTTTTTGAAGGGGGCTTTTTTTTTCCCCCGGCTGGGGGGGAGTGGCGTGGTTTTGGCTCACTGCAACCTCTGCTTCCCGGGCTCAAGCGATTCTCCTGCCTTAACCTCCTGATTACCTGGGGTTATGGGCGCGTGCCACCACGCCTGGCTAGTTTTTTGTATTTTTAGTAGAGACGGGGGTTTCACCCTGTTGTTCAGGCTGGTCTCAAACTCCTGACCTTGTGATCTGCACGCCTTGACCTCCTAAAGTGCTGGGATTACAGGCGTGAGCCACTGTGCCCAATCTACAATTTCTTAAGAGAGTAAAATGTTTTTATTCCTTTCTTGCCTAAGATTTTCTCATAGTAAAAGACAAGATCTGATACTTGCTATATTGACTATCTCTGATGTTTTATTCTTGTTGCTTTTGTTAGTTGTACTTTATGGTAAATGAGAAGAGAAAATGAAAAAGTTAAAACATTGCATTCTTTTCAGTTTTTATTCCAATTTCTTATTGAGGTTTATGTTCTGACACCTGGATCACCATAATATGCATAGCATTATTTATTAGCTTCCTGCAAGTGTCTTCTGTTAACCTTGAGAAATAATACTTTTTAGAATTGAGTTGACTTCTTCAGACCTGTGAATAAACAGCATAAAAAAAAAGCAAGATGGCGAAGTGGAAATGGGAAGACTTGCTTCATTTCTTCCTGTTGAAGCTGAATATAAAAAGGCATAGGAACAGAAGGCCCCTTGTCGTTAACACACAGTTTGCTGCTTAATGGTGTGTTCACTTTGCGTGTGGGTTCTCACATAGGAAGAGTCTTAATATTTAGATAGTGTCTGTAATTCAGACAGATAACTGATTGAGAGTGTGGAAATACACCTTTCTTTCATCACATCAGGAAAGTTGGAAGAGAATTTCTCCAGCCCTTACCTCCCTTCCATCTCTTTCCTACCAAATCCGTCTTATATCCCTCTTACTTAAGTACTTGGCACACCTTTTCTCTCTCTTTTTTTTTTAATAGACTTTCAGAGAGAAGATAATACAATACATATCTTCTTACTGTTTTAGAGCTCTAAATTGAGAATTCTGTGCATTGTGTGTTTTTGCAGCTGTGTATCAGGTGAGCTAATTTGAGTAGGTTCTAGCTTGAGGGAGGTTGGATAACATCTCTCTTCCCTTCTAAGCACTGGAGGGAAATGAGAACAGGGTTTAGAGTTTGTTTCTTTAACTATAAAACAATGGGCTTGCACAGGGTATGCTACATGGTTTCCTCCAACTGCAGCTACGGAGACAATCACAGTCAGTTGCCGGCTTCTGCCCCTATTCTGTAGCCCCAGCTAATTTCATGTCTTGAAGCTTTGGCTTTTGGTCTCTAGGTCTGCTTCATTTTTCTATTTTACTATCCATATGTAGAAATATCTTGTCTTGAATATGTATTTTCCTCACATTTTGTATAATTATCTCATCTTGGTACTCTTTTGGGATTACATTGGTGCAGCTATTTGTTTTTTTGTTTTTTTTTTTTTTCTGGAAAAAAATATTTAACTTAGCATCTCCCTTATTTTCCTAGTTTAATGCCCCCCCCCCAAAAAAAATCAAAATCATTTGGAGCAGAATAATTTACCAAGAGGAAGAAGAATATGTAGTGGGTCAACTATGTGCTATATATGGAT